TCCACGGTTCTTCCTTATAATCTTGTCAGAGATAACGGCCAGGTCCATGGTGATCTTCTCTCCACAGTGTATGCTGAGATTCTCAAAAGGGATGGAATCTACATGCAGCTTGTGGATGTGGTTCAGGGTCTCTAGGTCGGCTTTTTGAAAGGGGCCTTTATACCCAATCCGCTGCAAGTACTCTGCCATACGACAAGAAAGACAAGAAGGTAAGTGAATACATTTTTACTTATAAAGCACATTTAAAAACAACAGGTGTTTACAAATCTGCTGTACAATATTTACAAAATAGTACAGACATGAAACACAGTTGCACAATAATAGTTCCAGTCCAACAACAAACTCCATATGAGAGAGAATGGAGAGGAGAAAACAGCAGACAACAAAATACTGTTAATCTGGACTGAATGCCAGTCTGAACAAGTGGGATTTCAGTCCAGATTTAAAAACAGTAATTGAGGGGGAGGACTTGACGTTGAATGGGAGGCTGTCCCACAGACAAGGTGCATAAATGAAAAGGCACTGACACCCGCTCATGGAACAAATAGCAGTTTATCGGGTGACCTCACCTGCCTGGGAACAGTGTGGCGATGAAGAAAATCAGTGACACGGGAAGGGGCCAGCTCGTTTAACGCTTTAAAAGCAAAAGAATTTTAAACTGCATCCTGTATTGCATTGGAAGCCAGTGAATTACAGTAATGTAACTGGAATGAGATCAGTGAATGAATGACTTTTTCAAGGTCTGGGAAAGAGAGAAAATTATTTAACTTTCAAAATGTTTCTGAGATGATAGAAGCCTAATTTACAGAATTGATGTACGGATCAAACCTAAGATCGCGGTCAAAAATCACGCCAAGATTTGTGGCATGACATTTTACAAAGGTGGAGAGTTGACCCAGCCTCTGAGAAACAGAGTCACTGTGATTTGATGGTCCAAATAAAATAATTTCAGGCTTATTTTCATATAGTGGAAGAACATATTGAGCCATCCAGACTTGTATGTCTTTCGGACTGGCAAACAAGCTTGCCAAGTGGGAGCATCTACAGATGCCGGGTTGCAGAGATTTTATTGGCTCAAAATGAGCCGGAGGTGGCCCCATCTTAGTCATGTGCACCAGCACCGTGCCTCCAAATGCCTAAAACAGACAATTTTTACAAGCAACATATTTTG